GATATGCATTAAAAGTATAGGTTTGATATCAAACTAAATACAAGCAAAGGAATGCTTGTAACTTCAGATGAAGAACTCGGTACGTGTATACATTTGCTTACAACTGATTCGCCCTACAAGAATTGCCATTTCATCATCGAAAAAATACAACCTTCAGAATCTGCAGCTTTCAACCAATCTCTTGCATATGTGATAGATTCAGAACCTGAGGCTGACTATCAACATGAAGTACGGCTGCCAATAATGGAAGTAGACAACGGGCAACAACCTTCTAACGTTACAACTGCTTCTGAATATATAATGCTGCCACAATTACCCCCTCCTCCAATAAATTCATATCAGTTTGTCAATGAGCAAGAAGAAGAAGGACAGCTAATAATGCAAATTGACAACCAACACACAATCCAACAAAGCTTTTTGTTACCTTCTGCAATGATAAGCAACAAAGAAGATGAAGTAAACATGGAGCTTATACCGATAACATCAGATAGAATTGAAGACATTGCTGAAAGTTCTTGTACTTCTCAGAAATCAAGAAAAAGAGTGAGAAGAAAGGTGAAAGAATCTCCACCATGTAACTTAGTCACGATGCGTTGCTTGAGGAAGTAAGAGTTGGATCAATCTTTGAGAACAACCAAAACATGACCAAATTTTTCTGCAGCTTGGAGATAAACCAGAAAGTTGAATTCACTGCTGTTAGATCATGTTCCAAGAGATACGAGCTGAAATGCATCGTGGACAAATGTAGTTGGAATGTACGTGCTACCAGAATAAAACATTCTGAACTGTTCAGGGTGATAAAATATCATAACATCCATGAATGCTCGGTTGATGCAAGAAAATCAGATCAGAAGCATGCTACATCAAATTTTATAAGTGAACAAAATATAGAACATGTTCGAGACAAAAATATAGAGGTTACACCAGCCTTTGTAGAAAATGAAATGAAAAAGAAATTTGGAATTGACATTGGTTATCACAAGGCATGACGTGCTATTCAAAAAGTTGTTGCTTGCATAAGGGGAACACCTGAAGAGAACTACCAGATTCTTCCTTCATACCTACACATGGTGGTGGCCAAACACCCAGGAACGTACACAAGCATAAAAAAAGATGCTCAAAATAGGTAAGCAAAACAATACTAACCATCAGCCTGAAGTTTCAAATGTTCCTATTCGAAAAAATTCACACCTTTTGATTTGTTTTTTTTGTGTTTCACTGTACAGATTTGCTTACATGTTCTTTGCTCCTGCGGCATCAGTAGCTGGTTGGTCCTACTGTAGACCCGTTATTGCAGTAGATGCAACGTTTTTAAAGTCCAAATATCGTGGTGTTCTATTTGTTGCTGTATCAAAGGATGCAAACAATAAAATCTTTCCTTTATGTTTTGGTGTAGCAGAATCAGAAAACAATGAGGCATACATTTGGTTCTTCGGGGAAATGAGAAAAGCAATTCAAGTCCATCGTGAACTAGTTTTCTTGTCAGATAGAAACCAATCGATCGCAAATGGGATTACAAAACTTGAAGCTCACCATGGTATCTGCCTCTATCACTTTGAGAAAAATTTAAAGCAAAGACATGCAAAAGCCACGGTAATAAATCTTTTTTAAAGTGCTGCAAGGTCATACAAACGTGAAGATTTTAATCAGTTAATGTCCCAACTCAAAAGTATTGACAAGAAAACATACAATTACATAATGGAAGATCCTCCCAAGAGATGGGCTCGATCGTGGTTCCCACAGCGACGTTATGATATGCTAACAACAAACATGGTAGAATCAATGAATTCCGTTTACTAAAAGGGAGAGAAATGCCTATTTTAAGAATGTTAGATTTCATCCAAGAAAAGTTGGGAGAGTGGTTTTACGAACGGAGAAAAAAGGCAAATAAACTTTTCACAGAGTATCAATATGGGCAGAAGAAGAGATGACTAAGAAGATGGACTTGGCTTGCAAAATGTTTGTGAGTATATTTATTAACTTCAGCTTTTCATATCTGTTGCACTGGTTTACTGCTTACATTTAAAAAAAATTATACTTTTTCTTTTTGAAGCAAAAATACAGTAATATAGCTTGTCTTAATTTCTTATTCCTTGTTAGGTGTTCAACCTTGACTCAATGTTGTTTAGAATAAATAGTGAAGGAATCGAATTCATTATGGACTTAAAGAAGAGAACTTGCCTGGAATTCCAACTGGATGAATTGCCCTGTCCACATGCAATTGCTGCTATTAATAAGAGATATTTGCAGAAATCTGATTACTACTCAAATTGGTATTCAAGGGAAACATGGTTGAAAACATATGAAGGACATGTGAATACCGTGGGAGATCAAAAATCACGGAAAATACCACAAAATGTACAATCTGAGATCACAAAACCTCCCGATGTAGAGATTTTACAAGGAAGAAGACAAAAGAAGAGGCATATACCTGCGATTGAATCATCAGTACCATTCAAGTCTACCAAATGCAGTCGATGTAAACAAGTTGGGTATAATAGAACAACTTGCTTGTCTTCTCCAGCACCTCATCCATATTCTAAGAAACACACTGAAAAATACTCCAAGCTTCAATAATCCTTGGTCTGAATTTAGACTTTCTTTATTATATGACATAATTGAAATGTGATTTTTTTTATAGGAATAAAAAAAAATAACTCTTGGACAATTTTATATACTGCTAAAGTACAAATCACTCATTTTTGTTGCACAAGCTTATAGGTTTGGTTGCATATTAAAAAAGTACGCAATGACTTCTGCGAGAAAAAACTTCAGGTTACATTATGTGAAATACATATCCTTAAACAAACACACACACACACACACATATGCGTATAGCACACAAAAAGAAATGCATGTACAAACAAAAGTTGTAGCATCTCTAAGCAACTAAGAAGTATAAAGCAAATATCAACAAAGAGGGTGACAATTACATTGATATAAAAAGAGGTCAGAACAACACACATATTACAAACAAAACTTCAGCTCTCTGGGTTGAAGTTATACAAAATTAACCTAAAAAACTTCAGCTCTATGGGCTGAAGTAAACAAAAAGCATAGCATTGGAACATAAAAAAGGATTACAAACACTAACAATCATCACCATCACCATCATCATCATCGTCATCATCATCATCATCACAGTACTCCTCAATTTCTCTAAATATCTCATCATCATCACTATCGGAGATAACTATAGGGTAGTCAGGCAAAAGACCACTGAATCCAAGAAGATCAATCTTCAACTTGTTGAATTCATCACGCAGCTGACTTTGTTCGACGATTATTCTGTCCATAAGAGGAAGAAGAGTCTTCAGGTTGTTTTGCAGCTTGGAATAGTCATTCCAGCTGGGAAACTGAAAACTATCAAACTGCTGCACAACCTTGTCGAACGAGGTTGAATTATCTCCACAACTACGTTCCATGTTAAGCCTGTT